ACCGAGATGTTCGGCGATCAGCTCCTTTTCGGATATTTACAATGGTAGATGGGTATTTTTATCCTCCAATAACTCCCGCTTTGTTCTGCTTTGTCCATCCACTGCCGCCATACAAGTTGTATTGAAGGAATGTGCATCCAAGTTCCGACGGATACCACTAGTTTGCACATTTTCAGTAATCAGTTCGGTTGCGGAAAACCATTGTTGGAAGAATAAATAGCGATGTTGTTCCATATTCATAAAACGTACACCTTTACGAGGTAAACGCGCAGACACTGATGCGTTATACTGCTTTAAAACACAACAACAAATATTGATATTTTAAAACTTCCCATTTTACTCAAACTGTGCACCGTTGTTTTTAGGTCCCGATTTTGACAGTTTTACATAATAATCTTGTTCTTTTTACTGCCCATTTTCATTGCTTTCAAAGAGATCAAACACTTTTCATCTATTCAATCTTTCTGACTAAATGCGTCATAACCACGAGCAAATGTCAAAAAAGTATTCCATCAACTGGGAACGTTGTATTAGTATATAAGTCAAACGTCTATTAGAACAGTAAATCATAGAACCATACAACTCGCCTTAGCGTGCTCAGGTAATGGTCACCACTAAAGAACTAAACAAATGCAGAACAGTGCATGAATACTGAAAATCGGTATATCGATCCAAAGGTTTTCGTACCTATTAACCATCGATAGTTGAGTTAAAGATAAGTAAAATCACCAACTAAGTCTGCTTCAAACTGTTGAGCAACAACCCACCTAACATGAGATACCGGACATTTATGCGTTCGTATCTTGCGGCAATGCAAATACAAATTCGTCGAATTATCCTGAATGTGCTTCGGGTTTACAGCATTTACCAGATCAAATTTGTGAACTAAAATGCCTCCCAGCCACCCATGTTCGCCTGTATCTTGTCACTATTGAGGTGAGGATGAGATACGATTCCAACATAAACATTTTGCCGTTCAAAACTGCAGCTTAGAAATATCAACTGACGTTAAACGACGTTAAAAGCTCGATTGTAATAAAATCGATACAGTTTCGAGTTACTAAATTCACCGAAGTTTCAGACCGAACGGAAACCTCGTGGTATTTACCGCATAGAAATAAATACACTAGAATATTTCTTCCGCAGTTTCTACACTGATTTCATCGATAGTTTTCTGTCTTTTTTTCGCCTTCTTAAATCCTTTCACATCATAACGATTGCCAGAATAATAAGGATAGATCTTTCTTGCTGCCATCAGAAAAAAAAATTAAAATTCTCAGCTGAATTGACAGACAGAAAAGCTCAACTGAACCATCGGATGCTGTATCTCTCCGGTACTTCAATTTAGGTATCGTCAACTAACCGGAAGGGAGATTGTTCTTTCACATAACCTGATATCCGTTTGTTTCTCGTTGTGCAACACCACCCAAACTAAAAGTAACTTCGGCACAATAGAGAGAGAGTATTCAGTTCTTGGATAAGTCAGCGTGAAGCACATTATTTGTCCACCAAACTGTGAGTTGGCCATTGACGAAGTCAAGCAGTTTGGATACAATTCAAAATATCCCCATGAGCAACCACCATACGAGCGCAGCAGGGGATCGTTCTTTAAGCTTGTCCCTTAAGGTGAGCAATCGGATAATCTTGATGAAATCTCAAATACCACATTAGAAAACTGCTTAAACTTGGATGATATCGTAACCTTGATTGTACATTATCGAAAACGTATGGCTTTATTGCAATGAAGCAGTAATGTAGGCATTCAAACAGCCTACAACTATTTTCATCATAAAACTCAATCCTGTCATGTATCAGGTATTTGAACGTGTTGAGCAAACATGTAGTGCACACGCTGTCTTAATCCCTGGTGGTCCATATTCGCTATTTCAATCGGTCTATATTTTCTCGTTTTTCACCTGCCGTTCCCAATCGCAGACAAATAAGGCCCAAATTTAACGGCGCTCAAATACTCATGTCCCAATGTCTATGTATGTATGTCTATGTATGTCTATGTATGCCTACGTATGGATACATATACCTACAAATCAAGAGATGAAGAAAAGTATATGCCTTCTTCAAAACGCGTATCATACGTGAACACAGGAACATCTCTTCACTTTGCGCGCATTTTTCATTTTTGTGATCCGGATTGGATCACTTGGTACGAAGATCACTAGGGGATTGATTTCACAAATATGATTATCACCTGGACCAAACGGGTAAAGAATTTACTGGTATTTATAGACTGATATCAGTAAAGTGACCACACATAATTTGGCCTCACGCGAATAGAACTTATCAGTACCTGTAGAAAACACGATTTCAGTCAACTCACAGCTACGACTGTTCAATTTATTTCGTTTGGCGAACTGAATCAATAGCTTTCAATCCGGAATCGCTCATGAGCATCACTAGGATTATATTTCACACGCGGTCGCCACCCACACTTGTGTACAGCGCAAGCTCCGCCAGTTGAACCATGAGACAAAACCTTGGGTCATGCTCTTAGGTGCTGTGAAAATATCAGTGCTTTAGGTGCGGTCTCATAGCCTAGCTTGTGAAGTGTGTGCTAAACAAAGGCGTAGGCGGCGTCCATGCGTGGGCTCGAACCCCCACCCCGATGCTACTGAACAATTCGAAATTTGAGCATAATAGTAATGAAATGTGAATCTGGGTCATGGTTCACCAGCATACTAGGAGAGCATTTAAATACATTATGAAACCCAAAACTCGCCCAGTGAATGTTCATTATTCCAGCTTGTTTTTCGCTATATATATATATATACGCATATTTGAAGTAAACGTTCGTTTCAATTGTTTCCTTTTCAAAATGCATCATTTCCTATACAGTACACATGATTAATTTGTACTCTGTTCATGATAAACTTATGTGACTGCACTCATGCACATGTATCTCCAATAAGAGATCAAAGGCAATCGATTTCATAAAACCGCTTCATAATAGGTTTTCATTCATCCACTTTAATCGTTTCTCTCTTGGAACTACCCCTCGCGTGAACGTGAACCGATTTCTCCGTCAGTAAGGCTAATGGTGACTCTTTGTGCTTTGCAATATACACCAAGGTCGATATACTTCTGAATTCAGTTGTTGTTGCAGCCGCGTACTCCAAACCTCTCCACTGGTTTTGCAATTTGGGAAATCGTATTACACTCCTTCAGTTGGCTCCTGAAGAGTTAATTCCTAGCAGGGCTTTTGGAAGGACTTAGCTGAGGCAAAAAACACTGGGTCATTGAAAGAATGAAAATATCTTTCTTAAAAAGTGCCAAATTATTCGCAGCCAAGACATTCATTTTTAGCTACTGATCATTGGTTCCGGTTGCACATTGGGTGGAGTGAACAGTTCCTTTTACAAACTCTCTCTTGGTTGTAGATTTATTATGCTCAAGGACAGCAACAATTAATGAGGGAGTGATTTCCTAGGGCAGTCAACTGCGCTGCCTTAGCTGTTCGGCGAATGAAAGGAGTAGCGCACATGTTCTATACCTTTTCAGTTTAGGACGTCCGAAATCCAATTTAGAACGTCATAATGTGAATTTAAGTTGTCCCAGTAACAATTTAGGATGTCTTGTTGCCATGTAAATAGTACCTTACACAGTACACAGTGAAAATATAGCAACATGACATCTAAAATTGTTACTCGGATATCTTAAATTCATATTGTGACATCTTCAATTGGATCTCCGACATCTCAATCTGAAAAAAAGCATAGTTCTTTGCTACTGACTCTCCAATTCTAAACACAAAACCTTGAAAACATGGATTGATCATTCGGTCCAGTCTCGACGAGCACTGGCCGTCACAATGGTAACGCATACACATTCCTTATTGTTGATCCAGGATTCAAAAAACGAATAGGTTTCAGGAAATACACTCCCACTAATGTGAACCTCGAGTTAAGTGCATTCCAGCAGCACGGATGATTGGATGAACTGAGGATTGTGCGTGACTGTGGAGATTGAAGATGGGTCAGTTACAACCAATATACATGGTCATTTAACTGCACCTGTACGCATGTATATGGCAGTTATGATGATTTTTATAATGAGTGTAATAGCGAAATTACGACAAGGACATTAATGGGAAACCTCTCAAACAACAGGACAAATGAAATCACCACCAGGTTAACGTCAACTTGCCAACAATCCACCTTTGTACCTAAATCGTGTTTCTGATGGTGAATGGACGAAGTCGCACTGAATTTCATTAAGTTTGTGTTTATCGAGTTGCAAAAGACCTTACGTGAGTGAGTTGGAGTGATGCCATTTTTTGTATTGAGAAAGAATGTAATGAATATCTGCATATTTTCCATTCAGTCAATTATTTAAGAGTTACGAGTTTGTTCTCCATCGCTTTTCTAAGCCACACTTCTGTGTTTCGATATTCTATTCGATTTGGCTTATTTCACAAATATCGTCAAATTACCTTTGGGAGTGAAGACAATGTGTATATATGAATACGTAGTGCATGGTCTAAGTTTACTACTGTACCGAATGCTCTAAGTAGCAGACGCTAAAAATATAGACATAATTTGATGCTTGATCTAAACAAAAGATTTTTTACTGCAAACATAGGTGTGTTAGACGTGTAGAAAGAAAATAATCCCGTGGGAGTGAATTACTAGTTTAGCAGGCATCGTAAACAATGGCGCACACCAAAGCAAGCTTCTCGTGCGCGTCAGTACTATCCATCTACAGTTTACCAGCCTCCGTGATTCACAGGCTGCGCTGACCAGTACAACCGATCGATGCATGGACGTGCACCTGACCGTAGCGGCAGTGTTGACTAATGGCGCTCATCCGTGATTGGTCCTTTTCTCAAACGATGCGTGCTTACCACTGTTACACGTCTAAGCCACCAATCATATCTAGAACTGAGTGACCAATCGTGTTCACCCAAAATCATGAACATCGTCAACCCCTAATTGGTCGACTGTAGCCATGTATATAAGCTTGTCTGTGTTCTGTTTCAGACTAAACACATGATGGCGACATGCAAAGCGCCGCGTTCGGCGGCGCCTGGTCTCAGGGAACGATTGTCTTTGAATCTCGTACCAATCAACCTCCTGTCCACCCGAGTAGGATATGCTGCTGCTTGGGGCAATGGCCCTTTGAGCGCAGGAGCGATTCCCTCTACTTCTCCGGAATGGTCGAAGGCATTTGTTCCCGAGGAGTATGAGCTTGACCAGCCACCTCCAAAGCGCATAAAAACCGGGTGTGAAGTGGAAGTTCCTCATCCCAAAGATATTATAGCGAACACGGAATCGTACAAATCGATAGGATCAACGGAGCCTTCATTCATCACTTCTGATGAGCTTGCTGATATGCTGAAGACTCCACTCGAATGCTCACCGGATGATTGCGCCTCCTTTCCAGTTGTATTGGACCTGCGTAGTTTGCCGGCTCAAATGTGCTTCCGAATTGAAGCTGCCATTGGAATGCCCTGTGAATCTCGTGTTAAAATGCGTCTAGTTCTGCCCCATTTGGATAACTATTTACACGGACAAGTCACGGATGTCTGTCCTCATTGTGGCGGTGCATTGAAAGAAAAGAAACAGCTTGTTGTGTTGTACACAGAAACCGGTTCGGAACATGCACCTGTTTGGGAAGGTCTCAGACTCCATTTGACACGAACTCATGGAGTTGATGTGAGGTTGTTGAAAGGTTAGTCTATCTCCATTCAGCCAAATCAAAAAAGAACTGGCTAGATGAGGACAACTCCAAATCAATATATTTTGGTAACTAAGCTCTTGTGGACAATATTTTTCACTCGGGTACCGTTCTTATTAATCCACGTTTCATTCCACACCGATCAACGTTTAAAGCCCTCCCACGTCTTTTGTCGTATGAATTGTCTTACTCAGTGTTCGACCGTAATTCCACTTTGTTCACAGTAGCATGTAAACCAGAAAATACTCGCAGATGATTGAATACGACGCGCGATTTAGACAATATAACGAAATTTACCCGCTCGAAAAACCTTTTCGGGGGTTGGAGGTCTTCAGCTTAGCAGTCCACTAATGGTAGTTTTATGCGCCTATTTTTTTCAATTTACCTACATTATGCAATTCGTAATTGGCTTAGTAAGAATATTTGCAAGGTTTTATTATCGTACAAGGCCTACATGATGTAATTATAGTTTTGATCGTTGTCCGCAAATTTGAATGAATGCCAGTGCAATTTGATCAACATACCGATATATTTCCTTCGACACAGATCTTCGTCGAATTTAATTTATTTCGTATTATTCGATAGCGATAACGAGATTCAGCTTAGATGTGATCGAGTCTTGGTGTGTTTTTCGGTGAAAATTACTTTGTTCCCCAATGCATAACTGCATGCTCTACTCATTAGACGATTTATAACTTATGAGGAACGATGGTTCACTATAACGTTTTCGGTTATACAAGGAAGTTGACATGAATCACAAAAACAATCCTAGTTTGTTGGTATCTGACGTGTGACTCTTATGCCAGTTTCCCCCTGCGGTTAGTTTACCAACGTCACCTCTTACCAAATATTTGAAACGTTGAAACTTAGCGACAGGTTTTAGTCTACGCACTAACCGATTGAAATCAGTCTTCCGCTTAATCGATATGCAAATACAGTTTGAATGTATCACGGTTGATTGTCAGTAATAGAGCTTCCTCTATGTTTTCAGTTCTCCGAATTGGATCTTTTCATTGGAGCGTCCGCTTGCAGAATATCCCGATATATGATCTTTCAATATATTGGGATGGATTGAGAAAATATCCTAGTTGTCGAGCGGTTTTCTAATGAATCCTAATCTATGTCATGAACTTAGCACATTGGATTTTCGCTGAGCTACTGGCACACAAGTGACAGCAAACATGACTATTGTCTTTTGAAGTATCTTTAATGAAATCCAATAATTCATTGACTTCAATCAATCAAATTCCACCATCATTTCCTCTCAACTCAATCATGCGAGATGTCTCATGGGATGCTCAAACCGAATAAGCTATCCGGTCTTACTTGTAACACGTTGCTCTTCATTGATGTTTAACCTCAGTGACTGTTCATTTAGAACACCTTCGCATATCGATTATAGCACCATATTTTCTCTTGGCTCAGATTTGATCCACAAAGTTTTCCTTCCAGTTTCCGGATGTGTCTGTTGATAGTTATTTCTAGTGGGTTCCGGTGGGTAAGANGGTAATCCCCAAATGTGTTCACTGAAAAGCGGCCCACTGCGGCTTCTTAATTGTCTGGTTTAAAATCGATATTCGATCGGGTATCTAAGAATTATGGAGTGAATGTTCACGATATTACTTTGCTCCGCAACAACTACGTCTGTTATTTTGAGGTTACGGAAGCAAGCTTGGGCAGAACGAATCGATGAGTTGGTAAAAATAACTAACCTATGCTAGTACATGATAATTTACGGTTTTGTCAAACGTAAACAGCTGTAAACCTTCAAGATTGCTCTGGGACAAGTGAAGACCTGATAGTCTGGTTTGAATGTATGTGAAATCTATAATCATCCTTAATTCAAACTGTAATAATTAGTAAGTTTTGTACTAGCCGTTTTACTCAACATGGAACAAATCAAAGATTTTGTGGACTCCACAAATGTGTTTCAGTATTTTTTTTTGAGTTGCATGAAGTAACTCGTTATACCAGACTAACTGATGTTTCAGAAAACACCAGATTATGTTGATAATTATAGGATTGTCATACAAATTATGAAAACCAGGTGCGATTTACGATGTCCTCTTTGTAGATTTTGATACATACGTGTACCTCCGGTAAGCTGTTTGCGTCAATCAGAAGTACAAATATAATCATTTAACATGCAAGTTGTGTACAAAATTGAAATGATCCTAATCGTGTGACCGTAGCCGGTAATATTTTCCGGTTAACCTTTTGGTCAACCAACGAAAAATTAAAAACGAAATAGTTAAGAAGGTAAATGCAGAGAATTAACCATTTAAAAAAATGCCGCTAACGTTGTACAGCCATTCAAATCGCATAGTGCTTGTAATCATTGATCTGGTCGATCAATGTGTCCTCGAACATGAGCCCAATACAACTCAAAAAATCCATCCCTATTGGCGATGATTTCATGGCGCGAAGCTAGGTTTTATTTTGGTTTCCTGTCGATCACTGTCCCCACTAGCCATCAGATCCCATTAAAGAAGCCTCTTCGAAGTACCGTTTGGTTTTCACATCAGCATACCTTGATATTTTAACATAGTCCGTTGCAATTTTGAACCAACAGCACATTTGCAAAAATCAAGACTTTAATTCCTACAACGATTTACTCAAGTCAGAAGTCTGATGGAAGCAATTTGTATGCTTTCCAAAACGAGCTCCTACTTGAATACAAAATCTGTCGACAAATTTATATTGCTTTTTCTTAAATCCCCAACACCTTTGATCTGAGCAAAGGTTTTATGGCTGAACCACTATGAAATAACAAAAGAACATTCAAGTCGTAAATTTATTACATCCTGTGTCATGCCATACACAGTACAAACAAAGTACACACCGAAAAGCGAGGGAATTCTGTAACTGTTTTGCCATAGTCGGACCTAAGTGTAGAGCTAGATTATCGGTTTCGATTAGAATCGACCCCAATAGACCTTACAAATTCGACAGAAGTGTAAGTTAAGCTTGATCATTGGGCACCTAGTGAGACCACTTTTTCATTCCCGGTGCAACACAACCCGTTCTCTAAGTTGGTTGGTACGGCTATTTCACTTCGGTAACTCCAGCTGTATGCCTTGGTTAGGTTCGAAATATGTTCGATCAAGTTATAACCCGGTAGAATTTTCCATTGCTTCCTTAATGCTTATCCCCGGCTTCTTTCAATCGGTTCACGAAGAAATTTATCAGATAAGCCTTGATGCTGACAATGGACAGTTAGGCTGATATCATGAGAGAAGAGCTCTCCCTCCTTTGTTTCCATAATCTTTTTCTTGGTCCATGTCGAAATTATTTTTTGCAATCTAATTTTGCATTCATCCAAGTCCACAATAAATATAGTGCGTAATGAACCCAGCGAGCAGCAAAGGGATCACGTTTGGAACACAGTTCCACTAATTTCATTTATTTTAGCTTTGTTTTCACAAAAATTTGCTTCAAGAGTACCCTTCATGTTCACCTGTCGTACCATGGAGCGGAAATAGCTATTGACGCATTATTTCGATGGTTAAAGTATTATGCACGTGCTCAGAGGCCTGATTGGTTTCTCTTATTAAAATGCTATTTGGAACATAAATCGCCTACAGTAATATAACTTGCCAAATGTAAGTAGTTTATAAAGTTTTCCTTCATCTGTCATCTACTGGAAATGGTACCACAACTTACACGTTCAGCAATTGCACGAACATAGGTGTTTCAGTGCTTCTTGAGCTAGATGTTTCACTGAAATTGCGTTTATCTGCTTATCACTTCATTTCTATGTGATATGGAATACTTACACTGATCTTCACGGTCGTTATCCTGGATGAAATAGGAAGTTTATATTTTTCATATCCAACCCGCATATACGCTTGGATAACGATACTAATGACGTACACCTCGTACCCTGAAATCATAAATCTCTTTTCTTTTTGGACTCAGCCACCAGAACAATGCAAACGATTTGTCTACCACGTGCAATATTTCACTGCGATGTTTGTGTGCAAACCGAAATTGGTTGAAATAACGTGTTACGCTTATGGATAAATACTTAGTTCATTGCCAGAATCGCTGGTATCCAAAGAGTTTAAGTCACATGACAATAGCATCGGTGGGTTCATCTGATTGCTTTGGTCATTCTAAGTGATGCTATCTTGCTCGTGTGAATGTGAACCGTAAATCATACACGCTTGTAACACGTGATTGCAGCTTTTACTGCTCACACGAATCCCGTTTGGAACGTTACTTCGGTCAAGCCTTTCGTACAGCCATTTTTAAGGGTATCCTATTGATATTCAATATGCCTGGAATTGGAATGTCGCATAGCGCAATACGTCCACTTTCAGTTATATCATAATGTTTGTTTGAGATTTCCGCGTTCCACGTAACTTTTCTGCACTATTTCTTCCGTAGGTGGGTTCCGTGAATTCCGACGCACACACCCACAGCTTTGTGAGAAAACGTTTGGTCGTTTGAGTACCGCGCGCACTGGGTCAGGCGATGATAATTGTCGATCGTCCTCCACTCCTACTGGTCAACTAAATCAGGCTCCTTCATCTAGTCCCAACCCCGATTTCCCATTGGATAGATCCACTGAACATCGACTGTCCGGTTCCGCGAGCTGTAATTCGTTCCTCCTACCTGGTTTAACTTTCTCTTTTGAAAACGTTAATGGAATAAATGGATTAGGGTCACCCTCCTCAAGCATATTCCCACGTTATTTGGTCAGCCCGATTACTGTACGCTCATCCTCGGAGTTCCTGTTCCCCAACGAAGAAGACCAACGGACACCGAAAGATGTATTCCGCATCAAGGCCAGTCGCATACTTCCGTTTCTTTATTTGGGTGAGTGGCTTTTTTAATCGAATTATATGTGAAATGACAGAACGCTTGTTGGCCCACCGGTTTCCGATTTTTTTGTCTAAGTGAGATGCATAAATACGCTTGTTTACCACTGTCCTATCAAGTTTAATCCAGTAGGCGTATCTCAGGCGAAACATATAAACATTGGTCCTATTCAGCAGGGACACGGTCATCTAGTGGGGTTCTCTTACAGACATCTTTATTTTCAACGTTTTCCATTTATCATTTCAGTTGACCAGTCTTATTTCTGGTTATTTCTAATGATACATATATACATATAATCTAATCAAAGATTTTTTCGCATGGGTTCTAATATTCGAGAATTATGCTACCCCCTAAATAAATAGAAAATGGTGCGCAAATATCAGGATGGATAATATGAAAAGGTATGTTTGAAAATCATTACCGATCCAATTGTTTCAGGTTACTCTTCTTTCAGTACTCTGATTCGGTAGGAGATATATTGTTAGATCACCTGGTATCTCAATGGTGTTCTAATGAAGTTGTGCATTACGTCTTGTTTCTGTTCCTCAGGCAATGAAATCGATTGCAGTAGTGAACAATTCTTGGATTCCTGTCGCATACGATCTGTGCTGAATGTGACTACCAAAGTCCCGTTTTTGGACGAGACACGGTATCGATGCTGTCGACTACCCGCGGTCGACATACAAACACAAGATCTACGTCCTTTGTTTACCTCAGCTTTCGAGTTTATCGGTAAGTGCATGTCTCAGCAAACACCCACTTGTCTGTCCCGCGGTGTGTGTGTGTGTGTGGGTGGGTGTGACAACACCCAAAGTCCTTACACTTTCCACTTGTGTTTCGCCTGTCTCTTGTTACAACCTCAGTCAATGAAGCGGTTGGAAGTCGGTGTGAACTAGGCGACAGAGCGTTGGCTTATTTGATGTAAACCTGTGCATTTTTTCCCAGTTTAGATGATACGTACAAACGTTTTTCACATGACATCCTGGAACTCTGCTAATTAAACTACTTTTTCACCGCTTTCCATTCAAACGGAATACTAAATAAATATACGATTGGATTGAGCTACCTTTATTGCACCAAAACTATCTTTCATTTCTACTTCTGTTTGCACTGGTGCACAGTAGATTTGGCCAGCTGGCGAACGATTTAAACTCAACGGTAATGACTACCATTGAGAGCCCTTAACTTGTTTCTTGCCTGTTCTTCCACTTTGGCGCATGCGCAATGTCCTTCTGCCGTCGACTATAGAGGGCTCTACTCAGTTTCCAGCCAATTCCGTCTTTCTCTAGAACGGTAAACCTGCATTTTAAAATAGTTTTTACAAGCATCTACCGATGGATGAAACAGGGTGGAACGGTACAACGATACATAAATGTAATTCTTTGACTTGTTGTTTTTTCTTTGCTGGTACTGCTTTTAATTTGCTAAAAATCGCACGTGTGAATAAGATGTAACAAGTCGACTGACAATATTATTTGTTATGCGGTTCTGTACTCCGATTATATCACACTATTCCGGTGCTTAAAATAGATCTGCCAATTATTGAGTGGAGCATCAAACCTATATGGCGGTACCGAGTGCATGTGTATACCGCCTTAGATGACGAGAAATTACAGCGCGTTCTCAGTGTTTGAGCTACGGTAAATAAATTTTGACACAGTAAACGTATGTTACTACCTGCTTCTGTGGTCTTTCAACCTGTACAAACCTTAAAGAACCAAAAGCACTTGCCTTAAACCAGAAGACTGAGTGACGCAACTCATGTTCTTGAACATAACCAAGTGACGCGTTAACGGCCCGTACGCTTGAAATTTTCGAAAATGAAGCATCTGGGATCCAAACTCTACACTCGTTTAAACACACTTCTTTCCGAGTATCTAAATAGCGTGCATGATTAGCGAAGCCTAAATCGAGTAATATACTGAATACCAAAATCTTTAGCAAAGCAAAATCGTCGTAACAGCCGCGATCTCATTTCGAATGCACGTCAACCCGTGTCCATTATCAAGCGGAATCTCACGAAGTTTAAATGAGGTTATTATTCCGATCAACGAGTATTGTGGTTTGAAGAAGTAAGATATGGTCGCTACATGTTTGTACTTGGGCGTATACATTGGAGGTTCACTCTATATTGCGTAGTGAGTGATCTCAGTGCGTGCGGTCGAGAAAAATATATGCATTTTGCGCTGATCACAATTCCATATGATCGGTTTTAAGCAGAATCATGAGTCAGTGTTAACTTGTAATGAGGTTCCGCATCATGCTTGATAGCCGAATTTCGCCCATAGTAGTTTGAACCGGACTAACGAGTTCGGAATCCACTATGGAACTGTTTCTTGCTTTTAATCCCATTTATCACTTTAATCTTTTGTTCATTTTACTAAATAAAGTAGTATGATTACTTTCACAAAGCAGCATCATAGCGTTCATGTAAACGTAGCTCTTGTTTTTAGAAAAATATAAATATTTCCTAATTAATGGTTCACAATAGGGTGGGGGGTGGGTGTCGCGGATTGTAGCTGACCACGCTTACCTTACATTTCGCGGAATGCTATTATGCAACCAAGTGTTTGAAAAAGCCATAAGAACTGTCATCTCGCAAGTGTTTTCTCCCACAAAGTCTGAGGACGGAAAGCTTCCAACCGGAGCTATAACGGGGTTGGGGAACCACTTGAGGGTTACCTAGGGGAGTTGGCTAAAACCATAAATCCAAGTCAACCACATGCCCGCATCGTCCTATTTGTTGCAGTGGTCATCGCATCAATTGGCGATGGATGTGTATTCGACACTTCTGACTTTGTCAGCGTCCAACGGGCGAATGATCCAATGAACTGGACCCCGGACTACAAGGGAACGCGGTTTTCACACACCGCTCCCATTGTCTTGTGCAACAGGTTCTAACTATTCAAAGACTTCGAGTGTTCATTCCACAAGAAAATCCAGCTGTCTTGGCCTAGGCAAGCTGGCAGTATCGCTCTCACATGCAACGCACTGATCACCTTCTGTTATGAAAATTATAGAACTGTGATTAGTTTCACACATTATGCACTCAGAGGGGTGTGGAAGTAAAACATTAATTCTCCTGGGTACAGATCTATATATAAACACTGGTTCAGATAAACTAAATCATATCCCAACAAGTGCTACAGGGGTAACTTCACTCGAACTTAATACTAATCGGTTGAGCCAATTCTGGGCTGCTTCGTTTTCCTGTGCTATGTGTACTCAATACATACATTTTCGTCAAAGTTATTCAATAGGATATAGGTAAAATACGGTGTTCATGAATAAATAGACATAGTGGTGCAAGCCCTTTTAAATTTCAAGAAAGTAGGGACCAGATGTATCAATATTCATTTGTGAAAATTATGACTTCGACCGATGCATTTTGAGAGTAATAGTTACGGAAAACCTCACTTATCAGTGCAAGAACGTTTTCAATTTCCAATAACAAGGTACT